CTCCCATGGAGCAGGTGGTAGGTTCAAACTACCTGACTTTGGATTGCCAGCACAACCTTTTATCCAGTAAACCACCAGAGCTTCCAGGTATACATTGATGACTCCATGCACAAGTTCAAAACAAGAACCAAGCTCTTCAGGTCATGTTGATAAAATCATGTGGGATTCCACAAAGAGTCTCAATATCAAATTTGCCAGTCACTGCTGTTGGGTTGGGACCTACTCGTAGCTGACCCCTTAAGAGGGTTTTCAGAGGCTGTAAATGACATGGGAGGAGACAGCCCATCTTTTCCTGAGAGCGGCTGATGGATTTGAGTCAGCAGAGAAACTCCTTACCCACATGGTGACCAGAGCTACCTCAATAGGTTGTACATTTATAGAAACTGAATTGTCAAGAGTTGTGTGACATGATGGAATACAGTGCAGCACACAGGGGCAAGGAAAGGGACGAGAGCATTATGCTAAATGGACTAACTCAGTCCCATAAGGACAATTACTGCATAGGATCATTATTATAAAAATAGAAAAATAACTAGTAAAATGGGTTTAAGGATCCAAAGCGGGAGGGTAGGAGCAGATGGGTGAGGCTGGGCAGGGAGGTACTCATAGGGTCACACAGTTTGATGGGAGGTGGGAAGGGTAGGTAAAGGAAATGGGAAAGATTCAGTGTGAAAAACAATGTATATGAACACTTTTAAGTAAATAAATATAAAATAAAAATGTATTTTTTAAAAAATGTTATTGACAGTACACACACAAAAAAGAATAAAATTTTAAAATTTTTTTTAAAAGTTGTGTTGATCTTGCGATGACAAAAACAAAAAAGATTCCCTGCTGGAGTGGCTTCTGTACAGCAACCAGCCACCAAACACATCACAGTTTGCCTGGCTCGTAGATCATGATTTCCTAAGATGTAACTAATAATGTGTTTAGCGTTTCTGTTCTGTTCAATGTGCTGTGTCTGAAGTATTAAAACCTTGCAAGTGGTAATATAAGCACAAACATTGGTCTATATTTGAGCAGAAAAAAAAAGAGAGTCAAGAAAAGGAAGATATGGAATGTGTAGCTAACACCTTCCTGAACATTTCCCTCTTTTGCAATGAGACTCAAAGAACTGGTTGGTACTTGAAACTATAAAAGAACCCTGATCAAAAAGAAAGAAATGCAGAACAAAATTGCAAATACTCACAGACCCCAGACTTTCATTTTGTTGTTAATGTACACAACAAAACATAAACCATCTCAATTTTCTCCACACTATGTGTAGTGACACTGAATACATTTTTGGAGGTATGTAACCTCTCTCAATCTTTTTTTTTTTAAAGTCACTCTTCACTCATTGAAATAAACTCACTGCATCCTGCATTTTTTAAAAAATTTTTATTATTTTTGTGTGAGTGTACCGTCAAATCAGATCTGACTGGTACAGGAGGAGACTGTCCCTCCTTCCCCGGCAGAGCATCTGGTGGATTTGAACCATGCGCCTCTGGGATTGTAGTTGCAGTTCCTTGCCACTAGGCCACCAGAGCTCCCCTGCATCCTACATTTTTGAGCTACACTTTCAAGTTGCTCTTATTTAATTTGATTTCACATAGATAGTCCCTAAAAGGAGCAGTCTGGTCTCACTCTTTTTAGGATGAACCTGTTTGTTCTACTCACAGTCCATGGTATATTCAATTGGACATGTTGCAAGGAGGGACCAATCCTTGGAGAAGTATGTCATGCTTGGGAGGGTGAAGCGACAGAGCAGGAGAGGAAGACCCACAGTGAGATGGATTGATTCACTGACTGGGGTAATGGGGGTAGATGTGTGAGAGACAAAAAAGATTGGCACAGGATAGAGAAAGGTTTAGGTCGCTTGAGTCGCAGGTGACTTGATAGCACATAACACACAAAAAAACAGTCCCTAAAAGAGCACAATGTTCAAGGTACATTTAATACCAAATTAAGTTAAACTATTATTTGGGTTTAAGATTCCAGAGGATATTTTTATATAAGATGCAAAGATTATCTGAAGACAATAGTGTCAAGGCTTCATCAAGCCTCCACAGCTCCAGGAAATCTGGAGTTTATGAGAATTTGAAATTCTGCTCTGCCTTTTTCCATTTTGATCAGGATTCCATGAAATTTTTTTATCAACACATTCAATAATGGTAGCTATGTACCATGTTTTTCTTCTGGTTTCAATAGCAAAGGAAGTAATCGATCATGTAGGCATTTAGATACACATTCTACTTTCTCTTTTAGCTTCTGACTCTTCTTCCTCGATTCCTCCAGGTAAACAAAAATCTGTGATATTCTGCCTTAAGTGGCCACTAGCAAGATAAGACTCTCAGCACTGTGCATCGAACTTGGAGAGAGAACAGAAACAATGTTCAGAACACAACAGAAACATGGTAGTAGTCCAATTACCTGGGACACTCCATAAAACCATGACCCTACACCTCCAAGCCAAAGAACCTACTTTCCACGAGGTGTTGCGTTGTACATAAACAATCTCAGTAGCTGCTTTTCACCTCTTCCATTGTTGTAAATATATCTATTATACAACTTTTGCCAATTCCACTTTTTATAGATGTATAAATTATGCCCTGAAATATTAAGGTTTACACTAAAAATATCCTTGTAAGTTGCCTTAAAACCAAACAGTATTTTAGCTAGTAAAATATTTTAACTAGTAAAAAATATCTATTTTGAGCATTGTGCTGTTTTATTAACTATGTATATGAGATCAAAGACACAAAAAGCAGCTCGAAAACGAGATAGGCTTATCAACTTTTTTAATTTTTTGCTTTCTTAGCTTATAGCAAATTAGTCCAATCTCTTCTCTGTCTTCATATCTTCTTTTCCTCTGTGTCTGCCTTCTTCTCTTGTGTTTATTACCAGGACACTTGTCATTGGATTTAAGGGCAATCTGGCTAATCTAGAACGATCTCAGTTTGATTAATTACATCTATTTTAGATTGCATTGATCTACTTCATTATTAGTGTCGCTATTGTTGTTGTGAAGTGTCATCAAGTCGTATGACTCAAGCAACCCTACGCACAAAAGATCTGAATATTTGTATAAGTTTCATCGTTTCTCCATATTCATAGGGTTTCCTGAGGCAAGCTATTCCAGAAGTGGATGCCACTCCTGTTTCCAAGATTGTTTTAATTGGGGAGCTCCATCAAACACTGTCCACCATGGGTAACCATTCTCACATTTGACACATCAGTGTCACACTGTTCAGCTTCACAGCAACCACGAGTTACCTCCGTACAGCAAATGGACAGACCAGTGCTATACCACCTAGAAGAATGTTTGACCAAAAAAAATTAAAACCATGCCTAAGCGCTGCAGATTAAAATCACCCACCTTTGGCTTGGTAGCATAACCTTCTATCCACTAGGAAAACAGAATTCTCTCCTTGTTGCTGTCCTTGCCTAAATGAAGTAATACTCACACATTCTCAGAATTTGGATGGAGACACATCATATGTGGCACCACCACTGAACTCACTACAATGACCTAAAAATCTAGAGTCCTCGGTCATCTCTACATTCTGTCTTCACCGCTCCTTTAAGCACTTTTGTCCTCTTGGGGACTGAGGGAGCTCTGTATTACTAAAGATAATTGCTTCTATGTGTATGTGCAGGATTTTATTTTTAATGCTGTCATCTGGCTTGTCCCAGCTTATTTTATCAATACCTTTTTCATTCCTTAATGGTTTCTTCATACATCTTCTGATCTTCGTAAGTCCCCTAAATAACCTCTACCCACATCACAGTTGGTGTTGATGTTCTCCTGTTCGTCCCCGAGAAAGGGCTAACAGGTAAAAATCTCATCTCCACCTGCTCTCCTCCTTTAACAAACTAAACCCTATCTTCCTTCCCCTTTCTTCCAGGTTTCAAAACTGTCCCCAACTCTTTCATCAAGTGCCTTCTCTACAAATTACTTCCCCGGGGGGCCTAGTGGCAAGAAGCTGCACTATAATCCCAAAGGCAAATGGTCCAAGACCACCAGCTGCTCTGCAGAAGAAGGAGAGACAGTCTCCTCCCGTGCAAATAACTACCCCTAAAATCCCACTGTTGGGTCAGCTATGGGTCAGTTCTGACTGTACAGTCTGCCACTGAAGTGACATATCAAAGGTAGTTTCACCATAACTACCCACTTGTCAAACCCGACCATAGTGCGTACCAGCCTTTATCTTCTTAGTAGGACTGACTGGTATAAGCAGAGTTGAGTAGTCTCTGTAAGGGGCAAAGGATATAGGGGGCTGTATCCATGGGATGTGGTTGTGTGCCTCGCACCCTGAGGTGTCTTCAGAAGGAAGATTGCAAGCAGCTCTCAGGAGGCCTCTGAGAAGGAAGATTACAAGCACTTCCCATACACCTTTAGACACTGACTTCTGTGAGAGTAGAAACAAATGTTCCTGCTCTTGATAAAGTTGTTGCAAAACGAGAGAAAGCAGATTATGAATACAAACAAGTCTTCCTTGAACATATGTTTTTTTTTATCTAACTGTATGTTTTTTTATCTAACTCTGTACCCGGCCCATTCGGGGCCCTGTGAGGTAATCCTTAATGTCTCCATTTCTCTGTGAACTATTCCCTTGTTTCTGAATAAAAGCAAAGGTTTTGGGGTTCCTGGGCACTAGTGGCCTGAGCGAGCTCTAGCCTTCTCTGGATTTACATTCTGCTTTGCTAGTTTTCCTTTGGCTCCACTCATGAGAAACAACTAGTCTCTATTGTTTATACTAGAGCAGCCTGGCAGCACAGTTCATAGGGAGTCGTGCTGCTAACAGAAGGTGGTGCTTCTCTGGAAGGAGCAAGCCATCAGTGGCTCCTCATGAGAAAGATCTTCTCTGGTGCTATTTATAGCCTTGAAAACCCAGTGGAGGTTTGGTTATATGTCATGGAGTTCCAAGTTCACAGCAAGAAGGAGATTACTTTTACTAGGTTTTAGTGGTTGACCAGGTTCACCGGTACACACTTGGCCTTCAGACATACGCACGTACCTTCCACGCAGCGGCAGCCCTCCTGTAGCACCCGGGCGTACATATCCACCTTGGACTGAGACAGGAGCTGGTCCCCAGTCAGGTATGTATTGTGGGAGGAAGCAATGTAGTAGTTGCACAGGGGCTGGTCCATGTCCTGATACACTTCATGGTGTAAGGGGTTGAATATGTCACAAGCAGGACTGCGCATGAAGTTGGTGAAGCCTTGGGGGAAAACGACATTAAAAAGATAAGTACTGAAGCTTTCAAAGCGCATGTGCTTAATTCACTCTCAGAGAGACAAAAGAGGTGAGAACACATTCAAAGTGATTCTCTTACGGACCCTTAGCTTAGCCTCTGGGGGAAAAGTGAAGCATCCGGAGATTAGCTCCAGGTCAAAGAGACGGCATCAGAGAATGGAAATGTTATTTTGTGGGAAAACAGTTTAAACATAACCTAAAAGTCATTGGCTTTTTTAGAATTTCGATTGGGTGAGGGCTGGCTGCGAAGTCCTTCAGTAACTCCCAATCTCGAGCTTTGATCCTGCCATGTCACCTCGTGCCTGACGCAGCACTACAACCACATTTAGACTGAAAATGTATACTGATTAATCAGACACTAGAAAAGGTAACACATTGAATCGAGAAACAGCATTGCTAGAGTGATAGTTAAGGTACCATGTCAAAAAGTTGGCACAGTCTAAACTCAAGCTGTGTTTACTTGACTTTGAAATTGTTTGAGGAAGATGCTGTTAATAGTCAGTGCGTTTTCGAATTTTGAAACCATTTGAAGATTATGTGGAAAATCCTGATATTTTCCCCTATAACTTTTCAAAATATAATATCTGTGACTAAAGGCATTTATTAATGTGTAAATAAATACCCAAATGACCCACAGGTATCTAAGTAGAATAACTATTAGGGGAAATTATTTCAAGTCTTCAAGAATTATGTGGGAAGATTGTAAATATCTTCTGAGTCTCTGGAGAATTTCTTCATTCTGAAATTTGCATTTATAATTTAAGAACCAAGTTTAAAGCTATGTTTTAGGCTCCCCAACCCTTCAAAGATTCAATTCTTAACACAGGAAAGGCCCCAGAGAGTTTATTACCTTCCCTGGTTGTTTTTAAAATGCTTCTTAATAATATAAGAATTTCCTTTATTCCTGCTCATCTTAATTATCCTGTATCCTCAGAGGTAAATGTATGTTAGCAAACCTCCCATCCCTTTCCCACTGGCAGCCTGGGAGGCAAGAACAGGAGACCAGTAAATAAAAATAGTAAGATCAGTAATGCTTTGGTGCTCTCCATTAAGATGATCCGTTCCACCGGTGAGATTCTCATCTGTAATGTCTCCCTCTTTGCATCTTAAATATGCACAACTTAAAAAAAAAAAAGAAAAATATGCACAACTTATAAATAATATATGTAACCATATGCACATCATCTTATTTATGTATATGAACCCAAGGACTGTATTTTGAGTGTGGAGACATTATTTCATTTCTTTGAGCTTCACTTTCTTCAACTATAACATGACATCGTGGATTAAATGAGCTGAATATTCCAGCAAGCTTTCAAATGCTACAAGGAGTCGTTGTTCAGATTTTTAGACGACACATTTACTTTCAAGTCAAGGAGCCAGCATAGTGCAATAGTTAATTGATTAACTTTTAACTGAAAGGTTTGAATCCATGCAGTGGCTCCACAAGAAAAAGACCTGGTGATTTGCTTCTGTAAAGATTAACCCCAGTAGATGTTCACTGAAATTAATGACAAAAAAAAAATAATATTAACCCCAAACACTCATATCGATTGTCATCAAGAAATTCTGATTCTGAGACATCCAGGACAAAACGGAACTGGCCAATAGAATGTACAAGGCAGTAGATCTTTACTGAAACAAACTGCTACAATCCTCTAAGCGTCTTGTGAGTTTGCACAGTAGTCCAGCACTTAACTACTGTGCCACCAGGGCTCCTCTGCAAAGATGCCAACCATGGAACCATGTGGGACTTCTCACCTTTATCACATAGGGTTGCCACGAGTCAAAAATCAACCCAACACTGATATTCAAGACACAGTTATTCAATAACCCATAGCCAATATTCAATAGCCAATATTTAAGACAACAATGTTTTACTCTTGTGCTATTTAAAATCTCCGAAGGATCATTAGCAAGTCAGTTCCAACTCACTAGCAATGCTAGATCGAGTTTCTTAGACTACTTGTTTTAGAAATCAAATTCCCTTCATGAAATTATCAGATGGAAACTATTTCCAAAAAGCAGTCCTTTGAGAAACATTCAAATATTTCTTGGCATTCAGTATGCCTAAGTGTCATCAAGTTGACCTTCTTGGAGCTGAAAATGCACTATTATTGGGAAATTAAGAGAAAGTAGTAACATGGGACCTACTTTGTGGAAAAGTGTGTGTGTCTGGATGTGTGTGTTGCAAGTTTTATTTTCATTCCCTGCAAGTTCAGAAATGTATCTGATTTCAATTCATAAAACATTTGCTAAAACCTGACTTAGATGGTTGCATTTAGAAATTAAGTTTTTACCTTCAATGCCAAGAATATTTTTCACCTTGTTTTCTTCTGAAACTTCAAACTTCTTTATGATGTCAAGACAATGGTCTGCTGTCACATTATTCATCTAAATAAAACAGAGCATTAGTGCACTATCTGTAATTTTTCTACAAGTCAGTGGGGACTCACTGCAAAGTCATTTCTAACAACCAGTAATTGATTTCATTCTTTTATTGATTTATTTTAGTGCCTATTTATTATCTTGTTTTAAAGACACTGTGGTATGGTATTAGAGAAAGATTAATGAATCTGAGGCACTTAATTTGAAAGCTAGTTTTACATCTAACCACGTATATAACCTAATCCTATTTTGTGGCCATTCCATGTCCATGTATCAGGTGGATTAAAGAGTACCTGAATTTCTCTACCTCTGGAAAACATCCGAAAGTATATATATATTTGTCTATGTAACAAATACAATCATAATGAAATCACTAAAATGTGCTCTTAGGTTTTCACTTCTGTCACTAGAATGCTGTACCCTTTAAAAAAAATAAAGCCAGTGTTGTTCTACACTAAGTAGACCAGTGCTCCTGTTCCGTCGGCAAATGTGCACTGTTACGAGGTAATTATTTACAGCTCCTTTATCTTTGGACAGGTGATCATTATCTGTGAAAACAACTGTGAACTATGCTTAAGTCCAATCATCATAAATACAGTTTTTAAAAAAGTCATTCTCTACTAACATAGAATATTTCTACATAAATTCACCTGTGCACATACATATTTCTTGGCCCTGGTAATTAAGTACTTCCAACTTCTCTCCATAGTTTTTTACATATGTCTAGCCAACTCCGCTAGCCATCAATTTTTAGATGCAGTTCCTATTATTGTAGTCTATGCAACCAATAGGTGTATACCACATCCACTTATATAAGTAGAGAAGTCTACAGGAGATATTTTTAAATTAAAATGAAATGCCAATGAGAGCTGAATATTCCATAAGAACTGTTGTGTGGTGCATGGAGAATCACTCATCTCCATATTCTCAGCCAGGGAAAGAGACCCGGCATGGGAGGAATATAAGAAATTCACTCATGAGATTGAAGAATTCAGATTTTAAAACAATGCAGAGGAATGAAGTCATAATGACTGATAACCACTACTAGTTCAACAAACTTTTTTAAAAGAACCAGCTAATATAAAAAAATAACATCGTTTATGATTCCAGAAATGATACTTTGATATTACAATATTGCTCAAAAATAAAAATCCATTAAAAAAAACACACCAAGGCTCTAGGTATGTGATGCTGTAGAAACTAACTAAAAGTCATACAACCAAGAATTCCATTCTGTAAAGACAATGGAAGTGCAGTCCCATGTTGGAGACAGAGCTTTGATAGAGTTCTATCAGGTACAGTGGTGTGGAAGACAAAGCAGTAACAGAAATACTACACTGGCAATCACGATGGGTGTACTGCGAACCATTCGTGGTGGCCAAATATCCAGGAGCTAACTGATAACTTAAAAACATAATTAATTTCGTGTTGACACTCTCATAAAATTTCTTCAACATAGTCAAATTCACGAGAGCTAGATATCACAAATGTTGTTGTTGTTGTTCTTATGTGCCGTTGAGTCACTTGTGACTCATAGCGACCCTAAACAGCTCTAAGCTCTGCTCTGTCCTGTGCCAATCTCATTGTCTCCGACTCACTCATCCTGATCGCCCCAGTCACTGAATCAACCCACCTCCCAGAGGGCCTTCCCCTCCTGCGCTGTCCCTCCACCCTCCCAAGCATGATGTCCCTCTCCAAGGACTGGTCTCTCCTTACAACATGACCAAAGCCTCAGAATCCTTGTCTCCAAGGAGCCACCCATTTTAACCCTCTCCAGGATGAATCTGTTTGTTTTCTTAGCAGTCCATAGTACCCTCAATACTCTTCTCCAACACCAAAGATCAAAGTAAAAACATGACTTTTAACACTTGACTATATATTTCCAAACCTTTTACCTTGTCAAATTACTTCTAGCCCAACATAGAGACTATACTTTGAAGTTGAGATCAAATGAAAAGCAAAAACATAGTGTCTGAGAGAGAGCAGTAGTGAATGATGGGAATGTTTGTCATCAACGACAGCGTTGGAAGGATGGAAGATGCCCGCTTGGGCTGCTTTCTCTCAGCATGAATCCACTGGTAACTTGAGAAAGGTGGATAATCTCCTCCCCAGCAATTTACACCCTCCAAACCATCCTGTAGGGTCAGCTATGAAGTGGTTTTGACTCAACAGCATTGAGTAGTAGAGTGGCATTGCTCTAAAAAGCATGCCACGCTGTAAGCAATGCCAGTAACTAAACTCACGGCAAAGTATAAACAAATATCAAAACTCTGTGATCACAGCTCTCCACATGTACACCATGGTTATAGCCCGAGAGATCAAATCAGAGATGTCCTGGTCCACAGAAACCTTGCTACCCTTTAGTGACATGAGCTCCTCCGTGTACCCTTTTGCTTTTGTTATGCTGTTGTTACGTTGTTATAATCGCAGGGGGAGAAATGGCCCATCTCTCTCCTGCAGAACAGCTGGTAGACTCAACCACATGCTTTTTAGTTGGCAGTGTAACTCTTTATCACGAAGCCACCAGAGTTCCTTAAAAAACAGGGGAAGAGGTGTTTTTCCTTAAGCTTCAAGGACTTGCTTTGCTCTAGTTTCCTACCCTAAACAATTTGTTACTGGTGTCCGAGTTATCTGTCATTCCCAGAGTAAGTAATCTCGAGTCAGCAAACCAACCAACCATAGTTTGATGTTTTTGTCTGGCCCTCGGCTACAACTTGCCTTGTGATTACAATGCATCTTCCAAGGACTGGTACAAACAAAGTGACTCTGATTCAAGCTGAAGCTGAGGAAAATGAAATCAAATTCATGGGAACCAAAATTTAACCTTGAGTCGATGCCACCTGAATTTCAAAAGGATCTCAAGAACAGGTCTAAGGCCTTGAACACTAATGAGTGAAGACCAGATAATGTGTGAGAGGATACCAAAAATATCACCCAGGAAGAAGGCAAAAAGTCATTACAAAGAGGAGGAAGAAAAGACCAAGAAGGATGTCAGAAGAGACTCTGAATATTGCACTAGAGTAACGAGAAGCCAAATCAGAGGGAAGAAATCAAGATATTAAGAAGATGAACAGAAGATTACAGATGGAAGTGTGGAAAGACAAAGTAAAGTGTGATAATGAAATATGCAAAGATCTGGAGCTAGAAAATCAAAAGGGCGGAACTTCTACAATGTTTCTTAAGCTGAAGGAACTGAAAAACAAATCCAAGCCTCAAATTACAATACTTAAGGATGCTTTGGAAAGAACAGTGAATGACCAGGAAGCATT